GGAACCACCTGCTGTCCCCTCTCTGGCACACTGATAATGTGAGAATCTAGCTTGATGCAGCTCTTCTCATCCTTCCACTCATTTGCCCCCCATCCCATCCGTCTCATCAGCAGGAATACGGTCCTTAACATTTTGGCTTTCTCCCGACGTGGACCCAGATGTGACTTTGGAGCCTGTAGATCTGCTTCTTCCTTTGCTCATGCCAGCCCTTGCTCTGGTCCATGGATCTTGCTCCTAGTAGCTGCTGGTGCTGTGGGATTGGGGGTGCCTCCTGCTTCACCGTGGAAGCTGTGGGATCCATAATGGCCCCAAGTGGCTGATGCTCCTGATCTCCTTGTGCCAGGTGTTGTTTTAATTTGTATCTTTCGAATGACCAGTGATGCTGAACGTTTTTTCGTTTATTTATTTGCTGTTTGTGCATTGTTATCTGAAGTGTATTTATTTCAGGTGCCCATTGTTGGGTTGGGCTTTAAATTTGAGGTGCCTGATTTTTTTTTGAGTTCTTTATATATTCTCAATATTAATCCTTTGTCTAAGGTACAGCTGGCAAATATTTTTTCCAACACTGTAGTTGTCTCTTTACTCTGTTGGTGGTTTCTCTTGCTGTGCAAAAAGCTTTATTATTTTTTGCAAAAACATTTTGGGGCTGGGGATTTAGCTCAGCGGCATAAGCGCCTGCCTTACAAGCAGGCAGTCGTGAGTTCGATCCCTGGTACCCATAAAAAGGAAAAAGACAAAAAAAAAAAAAAAAACCATTTTAATAAGATGAGACCCTAGTAGTTCTTTGTGATAGTTCCTGTGTGATCAGGGTTTTGTTCATAAAGTCTTTGCTTACCCCAATGTCTACCCATTCCATCTTTTTTTTTTGGTACCGGGGATCAAACTCACGACCTTGCACTTGCCAGGCAGGCATTTATGCTGCTGAGCTAAACCTCCAGCTACGCATTCTATCTTATAGCAGATTTAGTGTTTCTGTTTTAATATATGGAATTTTGACCCATTTAGATTTTAGTTTAATGCATGCTGAAAGACAAGAGTCTAATTTTAATCTTTAGCATGTGCAAAGCCAGTTTTTCCAGCACTATTTATTAATGAGGCTGTCTTTCTTCCAGGGCATGTTTGACACCTTTATCAATGATAAGGTGGCTTAATATGTCTGGAGTTGTTTTGCATCTTCTAATCTGTTCCATTGATCTTTGAGTGTTTTTTCTTTTTTTTTGCCAGTGCCATGCTTTTAAAATTTTTAGTCATCTACCTCTAATTTTATTTCTGACTTTTTTCCTTTTCACCATTTCTTCCATTCCACTCATGAGGCCAGAGTTAGCTGGGCAGTGCCCACTGATCTCAGATCTGAAGGCAAGTTCCCAACAGGAATGGAAGGAAAGGAAGTATCTCAGATGCATGGTTCCCCAAGCCTGCTCTCTCCCAGGTCTGAAAGTTTCCCAAAGTGGACTCTAGGAAATGACTTTAAGCCCAAGCAGGTTCCAAGTGTAGAGAGTGCAGAGGACACTCCTCTCATCTACACACCTGGCCAGCTAGGATTCTGAACAGGGAAGGCAGGAAAGTGGGGACTCCCATGGGTGGCCCTGCGATGGCCCATTTTCTCAGAAGTCTCTTGCTCCTCCTGCCTTTCCTTCCTGGAGGCACATGTCGAGCCGCTTCTGCCTTTCCCGAGTTTCTCTTGCTGCAGTGCCTTACTGCTGTCCCTTAGACTTACCCTTTGTGCCTGTGCATTTATAACGTCTTTCAGAACTTGAAGACCGACCATGGAGCTCAAGTCTTAAAAGCATCCAGAGGCTCCACAGCTCTCTGAGCCCGAACCCACAGGAGCCTGTGGAGCCTTTTGGCATCTGGACGCGGCCTGGTGCGCCATGTCCCATATCCTAGACCCGCTGCGATGATACATGAACCAGCAGACATGGCTCCCACACGGGCCTTCCTTCCTCCTCTGCATTTTTCTTCTCAAACTGACAAACTTCCCACATTTGCACAACTGTTGGGCTGCTTGGATTTCCTACTGGAGGTTCTGAGATCCTAAAGAGAGCTTTCTTAAACCTCCAGTGGACTTCACCACATCATGATGCCCTGGTTCCTTTAGCTTTTTTTTTTTTTTTTTGTCTTTTTTCTTTTTATCGGTACTGGGGATGGAACTCACGACTGCCTGCTTGCAAGGCAGGTGTCCTTTAGCATTTTTGTGTATTTCCTGGTCTCTTATCTCTAGAGGGGCCCCTCAGACTGAGTCCTTGAGAACAGAGGTAACTCAGCTGGCCCTAGGTCTCTAGGTTTCCTTTAAATTCTAGTGGGGAGCCAGGCATAGTAGCTCACACCTGTAATCCCAGCCTCAGGAGGATGAGGTAGGAGGATCCCTGTGAGTTTTGAGACCAGCCTGGGCTACATAGTGAGCTCAAGGTGAACCCAAACTGCATAATGAGACCCTGTCTCAAAAAAAATCACCAAAAAAAAAAAAAAAAATCCTGCTGGGAATGAATAAAAGAATGGAAAAGGAGAGGGCCACACAATTATTTGGTTATTTCTGATGTTATTTCATTTCCTCTAAAGTTTCTTGGTTTGCAATTCTCTTCTAGAAGCTACTCAAGTGCCAGTTACAAATGTTTCTAATAACCCTGTTTAGGATGATCACCCCATTGGGGGAGACTGACCCAGAGAGCCTCCTTTACTTGTCTAAGTTCCCATGGGAAGTGACCATGGATTTGACTGCAATCGCATTTTTTTTTTTTTTTTTTTTTTTTTTTTTTTTTGGTACTGGGGATCAAACTCATGACCTCATGCCTGCCAGGCAGGTGCCTGTGCCACTAAGCTAAACCCTTTTGCATTGCTTGTAACCTGGACAGCGCACGGCCCTGTGTGTGGAGCTGGGGCTTTCCCCTCTGTCCTGCCCTCTCTTTCCCTTGTCCCTTGCTCTGGCACAAACCTTCTAGGGCTTACATAGTGAGCTTACGTGAGGGGCAGGCAGGAGCAAGGACTTCACATCTGTGATTGCCACACCCTGCAGGCCAAGGCAGAAGCAGCTGAAAAGTCTGTGACCATCCCAGCTTCCCCAGCTGCTGAGGCCTCTGGATGAGAGCGGGGGGCACAGCTGTGAGAGGCAAATGCTAGGAGTATTTGGGGGCACTAGAGGTTCTTGGTGGAATTAAAGCCAGCCTCCAGGAAATGACAGGGATCCCCAGTCTTAGCCTGGGTGTGGCAAGGAGGGCCATGTGCCCGAGTCCTTTGTGTCAGCAGTGTGCTCCAATGTGGCTTCTCTTGTAGGGCACCCACGGGGACACAGTCATCCTGGGCATGTCCAGCGTGGAACAGCTGCAGCAGAACCTGGCCGCTGTGGAGGAAGGGCCCCTGGAGCCGGCTGTGGTGGAGGCCTTTGATCAAGGCTGGCACGTGGTTGCCCACGAGTGTGTCAACTCCTTCCACTAGGCCTGGGTGAGGTTCAGCAGGAAGAGAACACCACCTGTCACCTGTTGTTCTCTCCCTGGTTGGTTTTAGGTTTGAACTGATTTAGTCCATTATTTCCCTGCTCATCCCACTTCCCAGCTTTTTTATTTTCCCTTACAATACTGTGCGCCCCTGTGTTTCTCTCAGGGCTCTGTGGTGACAGGTAGGAGTCCAGACTAAAGTCTTCAGAGGGCAGAGGCAACAGCAGCACTCCCGAGTCTCCCCAGTCTGAATCCAACCATGTCTCGTAACAGTGGTGGTAGAGGCCCATCTCCAGTGACGGTTAACTCAGCACGAGCAGTGTATCAGAACTGCCAGGTTTTCCTCTGCTCTCAGCACCTCCAGCAGTGAGCACCTGCTGGGGTCCTCGAATCCAGTTCATCTTTCACACCTGCACACAGCACTAGCACTTAGAGCAGGCACCTCAGTCCTAACACTGTCCACTTTACACACCAACTGCGAGCTTGTTTCTGTCCCGCTACAAATCAGGGTTCTCACAAGCCCTTCTTTGGTTAATTTGCTTAAGCAGCTCACAGAATGCAGGGAAACACTTGCATTGAGCTTATCATAAAGAGGACAAAGGACACAGGTGAAGCGCTGCTGCAGAGGTAAGGCATGAGGAGCGAGGGCGCTGGAAGCTCTCTGAACGCTGTGCTTTTGTATGTGACTGCAGACCAAGGGGGGAACCTGGAAAGGGTGTGGTCTGTGAAGCTTGCCTTCCTCAGGCAGGGAGCAGGATGCCTCTGAATCAGGATGATCTCTATGAGCAATAAGGTAGGCCAGAAATGGGTGGGGTGGGGTCCCAGGGATCCTCAAACTCACAACCTCATGCTTGCCAGGCCGGTGCTTAACGCCACTGAGCTATATTCCTGACCTTGTGGTTTTTGTTTTTTTGCAGTACTGGGGATGAACCGAAGGAGGGCCTCAGGCATGCTGGGTTAAGTGCTCTACCACTCCAGTTCTGCTGCCAGCCCTCACAGAATTTCTTTATGGTCAGCTACGGGCAGAGGCTAGAGAAGGAAGTTATAAGCCAGGAATAGTGGACATAAAAAATACGTCTCAATGTCACACACCATCAACTACATTTTCTTCTTTTCATAAACACCTGCAAATAAAATGATTTGGGTAGAAGTCCACTGTTGGACTTAAAAATGTCCCGGGGTGGGCCAAGGGTTTAGCTCAGTGTCCTAAGTGCCTGCTTGGCAAACACCAGGTCGTGAGTCCTGGGATGCTGCATGTCACCCACTCCCATCTCCAGCGCGGGAGATGGATTACTGGTGTGTTAGCTAAAGAGCCCGAGGCTCTTGGTATCCATCAGTGTTGGCCACGGTCCAAGAGAGGGAGACTGTGCACATGCAGAGGCAGTGGCGCCACAGGTGCCCGTTTTCCTCAGGAAATCCCTGTTCCAAGTACTGTAAAGAGCAACAAGGGTTGGAGAGAGTGAGAAAGCCCAGCTCTAGGGCTGCTCTCAGCTGTCCCCAAAGATGCAGCGCTGCTGCCCTGGCTCAGCTGAATGATGGTAATCCGAATAGAAGCAGAAATCTAAAGGCTTGTTTTTCAAAGAGTCTCTTGCTGTCCATCAGTGGACAAAGTTTTATTCTTTTTTTTTTTGTCTTTTTTGAGACAGGGTCTTGCTGTACAGTTCAGGCTGGCCTTGAGCTCACTTTGTAGCCCAGGCTGGTCTTGAACTCACAACAATCCTCCTGCCTCAGTCTCCCGAGTACTGAGATTAGAGGTGTGAGCCACACGCCCGGCTCAAAGTTTTATTCTTTATGGAAACACAGTCAGTCCCCATCACTCTTCCTTGTCCTTATCCAGAGCAAAATAAATAGCTGCTCCCTCCAGAAGGGTGGCGGCAGTGCTATGTGGTCCAGGGGAGACCAGAATGTGCTGGAAGGTCTTTGGGCCTGAGTCCCAGAGTCAGTCGTCCTCACCGTCTGACTCGGATTCTTCTGAAGACTCGGGGGCACTGTCCGGCAAGTCGTCATCTCCCATCTGCTGGACCCGTCCTGACTGGGAGTCCCACATATATTTGATGGTCACCTTGAACTCAGCCATCTCATATCCAAAAAGCTTCTGCAAGAGCCAGAGAGACCCAAGAGGAAGAATGAACATAATCAGAAGTGCAGGCCAGACAGAGGCAGCAGTCCCTCTGCCAGAGCGCTGGAGGGCCAGACTCACCAGGACGCGGGCCTGCTCCGGGGTCAGCACATCACCCTCCTTGCACACCTCGTAGTCAGACAACAGGGTCACCACACCTGCAGAAGGGTGGCCCCAAGTTACTTTTGGCACAGAAGCCTGCGGAACATTTGCTGCCACTGCCCTCCTCACAGCTCAGTTCACAGTGGGCAGTGGTCACCTCCTCAGTGGCCCTTTAGTGCTGTATTCCAACGGTGACACTGCACTTTCACCTGAACTGTGAGCTGGGCACTCAGCCCCATTCACGCTGAGAATCAGGGCCCTGCAGAAGTAACCTGCTCAACCAGGAAGACGTGGGCCTGGAAGCCCGAGGTCCTGGGCTCCAGGCTGTCATCCTTCAGCTCTGGGGTCTGCTCATACCTCTCTTGAGGGCAGTGGGCAGCCCCAGTTGCCTCAGCTGTGGCTCCATGGAGTGGGGGAACTGCTCCAGGGGCCCTGGATCCAGGCTCACGGTGAAAGTTGCTTTATTACCAGCTCGGGCAAAGTCCATTTCCGTGTATTTTGTGAACCACCTTAGGGAAGCAAATGGTGTTAACGGGGAGGTTCCTGAGCCATCAGCTAACTGAAAGTGAGCCCCCCAGCAAGTGCCCAGTGGCTCTAGGTCTCCCCAGGCCAGTGGCCCAGCTGAAGACCATGCAGGAGAAGACAGACCCCTCTGGTCATGGCCCACTGCTCTAAGTAAGAGGCTCCCAGGAGCCAGTTCCAACTCCATAATGCCACTCCGGACAGTCCCCCGTTAGTCCCGACCCCGCCCACCTTCTCTCCCCTCCGTTCCTCAGGGACACTTACTCGTTGACCTCTTCCTTCGTGCGGTTGGTGAAAAGAAGGCCAACTTCACCCCTCAACTTCTTACTGACCTGTGAATCAAAAGTGAGCACCGAGTTTCTCCTGGGGATGGTTCTGCCCACCAGGGGACATTTTCCCTTGTCAGGGAAAGAGGAGGGGTGAGGGAGCAAAACAAGGGTGTAATTGCCTGGGCCTGGAGGTTAAGGAGAACGGGAGCTGCGAGCCAGGCTGGGTCTTCCTGATCCACGGGGTGGCCACGTGGCTGGAGTGACCAGATGGGAGTGGCAGGAAAGACATCTTGGCCATAGCACCTCCCAGCGAGGGTCAGGGACGTACCTGGTGCAGGTTGTCTTTGTACTCATCAGCTGGGCTGCGTCCCAAGGCCACCATCATGACCTTGTTTTTGCCAAAGAACATCCTACCAAGAGGAAAGAGGATGGGAATGAAGCGCTTCCCGTCTCCCTCCCTCAGGCAACTGCAAGCAGCTACAGACCCCAGGAGCACGGCGAGCTCAGACCCCGGTGCAGCAGGTGCGTCTGGAGGCTCCCACTTCTCCACGTAACCCACCCACCGTGTCGCAGCTGAGTTCCTCCCCCTTCTTTTCATCCTCAGAACCTGACGGGTAACATTTGTTGCTAGGCCACCATCTGCATCTCCTAAGAATCTCTCCCACCATGAACTGGGCAGGGGCTCTCCCAGAACTGATGCAGTGGGAGACCGACCCAAGAGCCATCTGCCACATGGTCCCCACATCTTGGTCTTGGTTACAGTCCATGGCAGGTGCCATACTGACATTCTAGAACTGTATGATGCTCAAAGTCCAGGGTCAAGGGCACCTTCTCACGAAGGAAGCAATTCTCACACATCCCCTGAGCAATTACTGTTTCCTCACTGCTCCTACAGCCTTGGGGCTCCGCATAAGGTCACTTTTAATGTTCAAAAAGCTCATCAGTAGAGGTGGCACCCTATCATTGGGATGTGCCATCTATGTGACTCAAAGGGCCACTGTTCTTGCGCTTGGTTCTGGCTCATTCAGCAGGACCCTCTCCTGCCCACTCACCGGCTGTGCTTCCAGGCATTCCGGATGTCCTTCAGCTTGCTGTTCCTCATGTTGGCCACCGAGAAAATGAAGAGGTACTTGTATGTGTCCACACATTTCCGAAGCTGTGAGATAATTCATGTGGCTCTGGAGTTTAAGGTGCACTGTGGGCTGGGCAACTCTGCCTCAGATGGGAAAAAGTCTATTCTAGGTCTTTAATCTGGTTCTCTTCACTGCCATTACTAACATTAAAGCCACTAAGTACAGGGGAAGTTGAGCCATGGTTCCTAGGTCTCTAATCTAAGCCCACATCTGTCCTAGGTCTCTAACTTATTCTTGACAAATAGTGCATCTGATCACTTCTGTTTGTTTGGTCCACATCTGTTCTCAATGGCCAGGTTCCTGCTAAACAGAAACACTGGCACTTTGTTATTTGCTGATAAAGAGGGGCTGGCTCACTACACTGCTCTTGTGGCATCACTGGCTGAAGCCATCACTAGGTGCAATTCCATTCTCAAGCAATGGACTCTGTGTAGCAGGTGACTCTGCTGTCACCCAGCCTGCAGCCCAGGGCTGCTGGGCCAGCAGCAATGCAGGTGGGTCAGTGCACTCACTCCTGCCTGTTAATTTCCCTGGCCTTTGACACTGGAAGGGCTACAAACCTTGCTAGTGCAAAACAGCAATATCTTTATATGGTAGTTACTGTCTGTGTCACAGAGATGCAAGGGGGAGGTTGTGGAAAAAGACATGACATAGCACAGTGCAGATCACATGCTAAGATTCTGATCATTGTTGGAGATCCTCGCTCCATAAATTTTTATTGGTTTTCGTGGTGTTATGCTTGTCAGAGCAAAGGGCTGGACCAGTAGCTGTTTTGTTTTTTAATTTACACAATACCATTTCCCTAGCAAAATATGAGTCCTACTTTTATAAGCCAAACACTTTAACCCCACTACCCCCATAAAAGCAGCAGACACTTACTTCTTCTATCAGGTTCTGTTTCAGTTCTAAGCCTTTCTTGGCAGTTTTCGTTAAGGAAACTAATACAAAGAAGAAAGAGAGATGTGAGAGATGAATCTGGGCACCCTGGAGACTTATGTCCTTCCCTGCTAGACCAAGGCAGTCTGAGGGAAGGCAGCAAAGCTGTGGCTATCCTCACTTCCGGCACACAAGGCCACTCTCAGAGTCCATGACGTGCTTCTGTGCCAGTGTTTCTGGGTCTGGAGACCCTGGCTATATCCTTTGCCACTTACACAAACCGAGTAGTCCTCAGCCCCTCAGCCTAACCCTTAAATCTACTGCAGTATGGGGCACAGCTCACCCCTACTGTTGAAGTGCTCTAAGTGGGAGCCCTAGTCTGCTGGCCTAGATAGGCTTCTTTCTGCTCTTGACCATGAAACACAGAAGCCGGATGGCTGCCCCATACTACGGGATGGAACTGGGTGCCACGTCATATTTATTGTATGTCTGCATTTCGTACCCATGGATGCGGTGCTGCCTCTTTACAGTAGGGCCAGTGACTCCGCTGAGGCCCAGTTTGCCCCAAGAGTTTGGCATTTGCCAGATTTGGCTAGAACTCTCTCCACAGAATCAAACTGATCCACAAGTTCTTAACAGAAGACCAAATGTAAAGCACTGATCCCCCCAGGAAGTAGTCTGGCTCCCAACAGTCCTCCCTTACAAGGCACATAGTCAAGACAATCACACCAGCCAGTGGCAGGTGCAGCAGCGGAGGGCAAACAGCAGGCCCCTTCGGTCTTCTCCACTGCTGTGACTTTGGTCAGGCAGCATGCCTCTCCTGGGTTACTGCTGGCCTTGGGGTCCTTCCGTGTTTACCCCCCAATCCTATCTCCCTTAGATTATTCTCAAACGTTTTAAAAAGTGAAGTTAAATGATACTGCTCCTCTGTTTGAGGGCTAGCATGTCTACCCACTTCACAGGGAGTGAAAGCCAATTCCTTACAAAGACCTATGAGGCCTTATCCTCCCCCTTGAACTTTTTTTTGATCACTCTGCTCCAGCCATACTCTCCTTGTCTCATAACCATGTCAACTATGCTCACTTCAGACCTTGACATCGCATGTTTCCTCTACTCTGAACAACCTTTCTCCCAGATAACTCCACAGGTCGCCCACCGCCTTTGCTCAGGCTTCTGCTCATTAGTCACCTCATCTGGGAGACCTTTTCTGTACTTTTAAATAACACCATCTTAATTTTCTTTTTTCTTGTCTTTTGAGACACGGTCTCCCTAAGGAGTCCAAGCTTGCCTCGAACTCGAGATCCTCCTGCCTCAGTCTTCCGAATTGCTGGGATTCCAGGTGTGTGCACCACGGCCGGCTTTTATCTCACTTCTTACTCTGAGACTCATCACTATCTGAGATAAGCACATACTCAATCGGGAGGGGGTGAAGTACGTAGTACTTCTTGACTAAAGATTCACCGATCGGGAATAACTTGGGTGGTCGGAAATTTGTCTCTTGGGCTCGTAAGACTGGCAAAAGTCCTAAGAGGCCACGCAAAAAACCGCTCCACAGACCCGACCTGGCTCCGGAACGTCCCACCCCCAACACGCAGAAGCCGTGGAGCTCCTTACGGAGGCCTGGACGTTCCACTCCGTGTCTCCGTCTATCTCAAATCCCTACCGAAGGCCAGGTGGTCAGCCCAAGGAGATCCCCACCGGGTCCCGACGCCCCCTTTGCCCACCTTTCTTGTCGCGCTTGGATTTGGGCATCGCGCCGGAGCCACGTGCGGCGGAAGGCGGTGTGGGCGGCTCCTTAGGACCTCGGCGGCGCGGGGGCCTCTGGGACGGCCCTCGGGAGCTGTCCTCGCGCGCGCCTGACCCAATGTGAGCTGTGACCCGTCTGTCCCCGCGAGGCCGCCACCTTCGCTTTCTTCTGCGTCTGCGGAAAACTTCCTAGCAGTCCGGGCCGCTTCTGAGTCCCCCACTGCCCACCGAAGACCTCTCGCTGGCTTGCAATTCTCTGGTTCCGGGAGGCGGAGCCTACGGCCCAGTGCATGCCGGGACGGCGGGGCAGCCTCTTGGGGCTTCTGTCATGGCGGCCTTGCTGAGTTCTGGACTCTGGTTCTGGGCTGTGTTGGTTGTTCCTGCGGCCGCCGTTTATGAAGACCAAGTGGGGAAGTTTGATTGGTGCGTATGTGTGGGGCTGGTTCTGGAAAGAGGTGGCTGTTTTCCAGAACCGTTTCCTACCTGGTAAAAGGAAGGAGGTTACCATGAAGCCGAATCGGCTGCATGACCTGCTGCACCCCGTGCAAAATGAAAACGTGAGACCCCTGTTCAAAAATTAAGCATTTTAAGACTTCGACGGAGAAGCGCTAAGCCAAGTGCTGGGGAGATCGTCTCAGCTGGTATTTATACGTGACTTTTGAAGCTGGCCTTGCTTTGCGGTTCTGGTCTGATCCCTCCTTCCACGGCAGGTCCCGTTTCTGCGACTGTCAGTTTTCTGGTCTTCCGGCTGTCAGTGGACTTTCCATCTTCCTAACACTAGCTTTCCTCACTTGGTCAGATGAACAAAGGCTGGGACTTTTAAAGTCCTGTGTTGAGTCCTTTCGTACACAGGTGGCCCTGGGCTCAGAGAATGGCCACCCCAAAACTCTCATCAGCTAGAAAGTGCTGTGCATTTAGTCTCCTCCTCTTCCTTAAGCCTCTTGCTTCTGCTTTATCCATTTTGCTACTTAAAGGTTGTGTGATCTTGGGAAAGTGACTTAGCCATTCTGTACCTTGAGCTTGTCTGTCAAGTGGATATATTAACTGTTCACTAGTTATTACAGTAATTGTGAGGATGTGAAGTCTTTTGCCTCAGATTGATTTGTTGAGTGCCTGTTGTATGCCAGACAGGGTGACAAGTGCATTGTAAGTCACACTTTTTAATAATGTGTTCAAATGTTTCCAGTGTTGTATGTGTATAATACACACATGCAGCAGGAGACTCTGGTTTAGTAGAATACTGCATGAGTTTCAAGTTGAAAAATAAACAAAAGGAAATAAAACATTGAACGTTTACCCATGGTGGTGGTTGTATAAAATGTGGTCAAAATATAGAGTTTTTAAATTTAAAAATTCATTAAGGTGAAAGACACATTGCAGTTGATTCCCTTCAGTATGCTTCCCCTCTGTTTGAACACACGTAGGCCATCATTCTTGCCACTTCTAGGCAGTTCTGGAAGTTCATTCTTGTGAGTGTCTTCACAGTGAGTGATAAAAATTTTAGTGAATGCTGTACCTGGTGCCAGTCAGTGAAAAGACAGGCTTGTAAGAACATTGCTGTGTGCCCTCCCCTCCTGATTTATCAGATCAGTCACCATGCAACTTCTAGTTCTTATGCAACGTCAGAATGACTGTGAAAGGAAAATGTTTTGAATCCATTTAGGACATCAAGGCAACCATGACAGTGCAGCTGGAGACACAAAAGAGGACAACCAGACCTGGTTCAGGGTTTTTGTTTTTTTAAACACAGAGTCTCGCTATGTAGTGCAGGCTGGCCTTGAACTCACTATGTAACCCAGGCTGGCCTTGAACTTTTGGCAGTTCTCTTGTCTCAGCCTCCTGAGTGCTGAGATTACAGGTGTGCATCATCACACCTGGCTTTATGGAAATTACTGGTTTATTGCTTAGCAGTCCTGTCCTTGACTCCCTGAGGATGCTTGCCTTTTTTTTTTTTTTTTTTTTTTTTGGTCTTTTTCCTTTTTGTCGGTACCAGGGATCCAACTCACGACTGCCTGCTTGCAAGGCAGGCGCTTATGCCGCTGAGCTAAATCCCCAGCCCCAGAATGCTTGCCTTTCTTCGAGGCACTATAGCTTCAAGGGACAGTTGGAGATGGTTATACCTTTTAGACTTTTCTCTTGGGCTGGATTCTGTTGTGTAGCAGCATAAATTCTCTTATACATCTCACTTGTGCATGTCTGGAGATACATTGTTCTAATGTTCTGAGAGAATTATTTTTACTAAGCAATATCATCATCTTCCATTAGGTGACATATAAAAGACATGCTTCTCATGTACTTCTGCACTGAATTCCTTGCTTCCAGAGGCATGATCAGGCAATTGTTTAGTACTGTTTTTGTGCCTGAGTCTTTCTGTGTTGTTCAGGCTGGCCTGGAACTTCTTGGCTCTAGCAGCCCTTCTATCTTGCCCTTCCAAGTGGCTGGGACTATAGACACATGCCATTGTGCCCAGCCAAACAATAAATACTTACTATTTTATTTTTAATAATAAGTATGTAATCTACTCTGTAGTCCAGGTTGGCCTTGAACCCACTTATGTAGCCCAGGCTGGCCTCAAACTCCGTGATCTTCCTGCCTCAGCCTCCCTAGTACAGGGATTACAGGCAGTAGCCATCATGCCTGGCAAACAACAGTATTTTAAAAGAGAGAATAGGACTTATAGCTATAAGGTTTTTATTTTGGCCCTACTTCGAATAGTAACTAGCTAACTGACGTCTCTGGACTTTTGTTTTTTGGTACTGGGGATTGAACTCACCACCTTGTAGTTTTCTCACTTGTAAAATGAGGGCAACGGTATTTGTCTGAGGTACTTTATAAGGCTTTTCAGTGGATACAGTGAGACTAGAGTATAACAAGATACAGGTGGAAACTACCAAGTTAGCTTTTTTTGGTACCAGAGATTGAACTCATGACCTCATGCTTGCCATGCAGGCACTTACGCTTCTAAGCTAAATCCCCAGTCCCCAAGTTAACATTTTTTCATGAAAAAGCTAGATGAAGCAACATCATGATAAGAGAAATCCAGTGTAAACGTCATGTGTGCCTAACGTGCTAGGGACTGCGGGGCTTCTCCACTGACAACAGCGTATAGGACTCCTGGATGCCTGACAATTGCCTGGGGGACGTTAGTTACGTTCCCTTATGTATAGGAAAGTGTGTTGACAGTGGTGAACGTGTAACTGAAGGAGAGCGTGAGTCCCAGTTCAGGTGGGTCCTGAGTATGTGTGGGCTAGAAAGGACAAAGGCCTGACCCGATCTGTGGTGCTTTGTTGGAATTTTGCATACTTTTTTTTCCCCCAGTGGTAACTGAAATTAGAAAGGAATGTTGTGTATGCTCATTGAAGGCAGGACTGCATGTGTTCATTTGTAAGCTGAGTGCCTGGTCCCAGGACCAGTATATACAGAGAAGACTGACTTTGTTCTAGTGGGATTTAGGGCAGGGGCTTTTTTTTTTTTTTTTTTTTTTTTTTTTGAGATAGGTTCTTGTTAGGTAGTTCAGGCTGGCCTTGAACTTGAGACAATCCTCCTGCCTCATCCTCCCCAGTGTTGGGCTTTTTCCAGTTCCCTTTGCTTTTGGCTCCATTGCATGGAAATTTCCTGTCAGATCTCCTTAATAAACATTTCTTTTCTTTTTTTTGTCTTTCTTAAAAGACGGGTCTCACTCAGCAGTTGAGGCTGGATTTGAGCTCACTCTGTAGCCCAGGCTGGTCTTGAATTTGCCATGATCCTCCTGACTCAGCCTCTTAAGTGCTGGTATTGCAGGAGTATGCCACCATGCCCAGCCCCTCAGTAAACATTTCTTAGGCATTATAACATAGGTGCAATGGTGACAACCCAGTGATTTGTCGATTTGCAGGTAGATCACGTTGTGCAGTGATGACTCTGACCCTGATGTTCCCCTGCGCTCTTTCACAGGAGACAGCAGTATGTTGGGAAGCTCAAGTTTGCCTCCTTGGAATTTTCTCCGGGATCCAAGAAATTGGTTGTGGCCACAGAGAAGAATGTGATTGCAGCATTAAATTCTCGTACTGGGGAGATCTGTAAGTGGGCTGTGCTGATTGCTTGACCTCTGGGTGGGAAGGCTGATGATAATGGATCTGAGGGGCCTGAGGCTTGTGACGCCTGCCTGACTGGTTCCCAAGTAAGGGACTCACTGACCAAAGGATTCTTTTTTGTTGATAGTTTGCTTTTTCAGTCTTGTCATCTTTGAGGATTTAATACTCCTATAGTTGGTCTTTGTAGTTTATTTTCTTAGCCCTGGACAACCTTAAATACTGCTAGATACTGCTTTGCCAGGTGTGGTAGTGCAAGCTTGTAATCCCAGCGCTCGGGAAACTGAGTTAAAGATCCCTGTCTCCAAAAAAAATAGAATATTTCTCTAAAGCACTTTACTGTATTTTAAAGTGTCAGATGCCTCCCCCATTGTTAATTTTTCGGCTGGATTGTTCTTACTATTAACCTTGTAGAAATGGAATTGGTAATTCCTGTTTTTCTGATGAGTCAGGTAGGTTTTGTTAATCTTGTAATTGTTTGTCCAATCGTAGTAGTGGGGATGGGGGTACAGAGGCCTCAGATGGGGACATAGTACCCACAGTCACGCCTGCTCCCTTGCCTTTCAGTGTGGCGCCATGTTGACAAAGGCACGGCAGAAGGGGCTGTGGACGCCATGCTGCTCCACGGGCAGGGTAAGCTGAGGCCAGCGCCTCCTCGTTCCTTCCTTGGTTCTCTTTGCAAGGTCTGCTGGGAAAGGGAAAGGGAAAGGGTGCTCCTGGCAGTGAAGGACTGGTGCCCTGTAAAGTCTGTTGGCTTCTTTAAGTCAGAGGGAGGCCACTCCTCGGGGACTCCATGAAGTGACAAAGCTTGGGCGGGTCTTCTGTCCTCCAGATGCAGTCACTGTGTCCAACGGAGGCCGCATCATGCGCTCGTGGGAGACCAACATCGGGGGCCTGAACTGGGAGATAACCTTGGACAGCGGCAGGTAGGGGACCGGCTGTGCTGGCCTTGGCTGCCTGGCGGGCTGGGCTGGGGCCCACCTTTGCTTGGACAGCAGTTCCAGGCCCTGTGAGGAGGCAGAGAACCTCAGATGCCTGTGCTCAGTGTGCTTGAGGTTATGGGGGATGTGTCTTTACTCAGCCAACTCTGAGTGAGGCACAGAATCTATCTTTCTTTTTTTTTTTTGTACCAGGGATTGAACTCACAACCTCACGCTTGCCAGGGAAGCACCCACACCACTGAGCTAAATCCCTGGCCCTTTTTTTTAAAATCCTGTGCTTTTTTTGTTTTTTTTGACAGGGTCTTGTGGGTGAAGTCTGGACTGACCTCAATCTTGAGAGTATTCTCCTGCCTCAGCCTCCCAAATGCTAGGATTACAGGCGTGTGCTAGCACGCTGGATTGTTCTTTCTCTTTTTCTTTTCTTTTCCTTTTCCTTTAATTTTTAAAAATTCTTTCTTTTTCTAACTTCAATTTTTTCCCAATTTTTTATGCACTTTATATTTAGGTTTCTCATGCAAGAGAAACTATAGAATATTTAAGTTGTGTGTCTGATTTATTTCACTTAATATTTTGGTCTCATAATGCATTCATTTTCCTACAAATAATTCATTTGGCCTTCTTAATGGCAGAGTGGTATTCCACTGTGTATAAATACCACATTTTCTTTCCTTGTCTGTTGGTGGACACAGACTGCTTCCGGGATTAGCTATGATGAATTGTGCTGTAGGTATACAGGTATTGCTGTAATATGTCTTTGATTCTTTTAGGGAAGTCACCTAGAATAGATGGGGCCAATAGTCCATCATTCTTTCTTTCCTTCCTCTTTTTTTTTTTTTTTTCTTTTGTACTGAACTCAGGACGCTTGCCAGGCTGGCACTGGGCCACTGAGCCATCTCCCTGGCCTCTCCCTCCCTCCTTCCTCCCTCCCTCCCTCCCTGCCTCCCTTCCTTCCTTCCTTCCTTCCTTCCTTTCTGTTTTTGAGTATGTATTGCAGGCTGCCCTTGATTTCATTATGTAGCACAGGCTGGGCTTGAACTCACTGGTTCACATTCTCACCTGCAATGTAGGATGGTTCCTTTTCCCTGCAGCGGCCCCAGCTTTTGTTGTGTTGGGCTTGCTTGGTGATGGCTGTTCTTTCCGGAATAAGATGGAATCTTGGTGGTGTTCGATTATGCATTTCTCAAGTGCCCAGAGACTTTGACAGTTTTTTCATGTATTTATTGGCCATTTGTACTTCTTTTGAAAAGTGTCTGTTCATTTTAGTTGCCCATTTTTTTTGATTGAGCCTTTTAATTTTGGAAGTGTCTAATTTTTTTGAGTTCTTAGTAAATTCTAGGTATTAGTCTTCTCTGTGAGGAGTAGCTGGCAATATCTGTTTCCCCTTCTGTAGGTTGTCTCTTCACCCTGTTGATTATTTCCTTTGGTATGAGAAGTTTTTTGATTTGATATGATTTCATTTGTTGACTCTTGATATCTCTTGTGCAGTTGGGGCTCTGTTCAGAGAATTCTTGGCTATGTCAGTATTTTTAGAATTTATTTTATCTTCCAGTAGATTGTTTCTGTTTCAATATTTAGATCTTTGGCCCACTTTTATTGTAATTTAGTGGATGGTGAGCAATACAGGTCTAGATTCAGTCTTCTGCATGTGGATAGCCACTTTTTTCAGCCCCATTTTTAAAAACTTGGTATGCATAAGGCTGGGTCAGATATACCCAGATCATAAGTTATGCTTCTTGTCATGAAATTGAATTTTACTCAGACCATCTTTTTTCCTCCAGTTTGTTTTTGGCCTCTGTCAAAAGTAAGATAGCTGAATATGCTTGGGATTGTTTCTGCATCCTCTGTTCTATTCCATTGATCCATATGTCTGTTTTTTGTGTAAGTACCATGCTGCTTTTATGACTATAGTTTTATCATATAACTTGAAATCTGGGTTTGTGATGCTTCTTTCCTGCTTTGTTCTTGTTTCTCAGGAGTGCTTTTGCTGTTCTGGGTCTCTTCTGGTTCCATGCAAATTTTTTATTGCTTTCTCTAGTTCTGTGAGCGCAGTATTTGTTCTTTTTTTTTTTTTTTATCAGTACCAGGGATCAAACTCAAGACCACGCGCTTGCAAGGCAGGCGCTTATGCCGCTGAGCTAAATCCCTAGCCCCAGTATTTATTCTTGTACTTGAATGCTTTTCCTCATTTTACTATGATGTATGAGCTTTGCCGTGTTCTTTTTTTTTTTTTTTAAATTTGAGGCCATGTTTTGCTGTGTAGTTGAGGCTTTCCTTGAACTCATGGTGATCCTCCTGCCTCAGCCTCCTGAGTGCTGGGATTACATGCATGAGCCACCATGCCCAGCTGTGCTCTAGGTATAGGAACATAATGTAAACTTTTCCATGTTTTTATTTTTGACTAGCTGGTTCCATCTTTGTAAAGGGTGTTTAAGTTATAGGGTTACTGGTATTAGCTTATACATCTTATAATAGTTCACTCAGTAAAGACTTGGCTCCCACTCTGTAGGACATGGGAACGCACATGTGAATGTGAGATTGCTTCTGTCATCAAAGTCACAGTGCTGTGGGGAGGCAGGCATGTAGCCCAGTGGTGGCAGTGCTGCTGACGGGTGGAGGGTAGACCTGACATAGCATGGACAGCTGGCCTGGTTGTTAAGTCTTCATGGAAGGCAGGAACAGCCCTCAGGAGACTTGCGGACCCAGGGAAGTAGAGTGGCTGAGTGGTTGCAGCACAGACTCTGAAGTCAGCCAAGTTTGATGTCCATGTGTTTTTGCCTCCAAAGCTTATTTTCTGCCCCTGTGGGCCTCACCCCTGTACCTGTGCTCAGTTTCCAGGCACTTGGACTGGTGGGCCTGCAGGAGTCTGTGAGGTACGTCGCAGTCCTGAAGAAGACGACTCTGGCCCTCCATCACCTCTCCAGTGGGCACCTAAAGTGGGTGGAGCATCTCCCAGAGAGGTAAGGCCGGCCCCTCGCAGCTGACAGCTGCCTCGTCCTATTTCCTGTGAGCCCCTCTCTCTCCTTGAGGGTCCTACAGTATTTGCTTGGTGTTGTGTGGTATGTTGTACTTGCTGGATTTGGACCCCTGTGCAAAGGCTATGGCTACACTGGAAATGTCCTTTGGTGCAGGAAAAAATTATTATTATTTTGTCTTTTTTGTCTTTTTTGAGGCAGGGTCTTGCTATGCAGTTCAGGCTGGCCTTGAGCTCATTTTGTAGCCCAGGCTGGTTTCGAACTCGCAGTGATCTTCCCACCTCAGCCTCCTGAGTGCTGGGATTATAAACCCGGCTGGGAGCCACCAAACCTGACTGCAGGAAGAAATTCTTAAACCAGGGCACTTGAGCTGGCCAAGGAAGGGAGCCACGTGCGTGCTCATGGCCTGGTAACTTTGGGCTTCTTGACATATAGTTATGTGAGAGACTTATGTTAAGGAAGGAGAGACTCAGACCCTTGGGAAGGGGCTGCGTGAGGCTCGAGAGGGATTTCGGGAGTCCCGATGGTGGGAAGTATTGAAGCTGGGAGGAAGCAGGGAGAGGAGAGAAAGGAAAGGGTCCTCGTGGACCACCTGTGGCCACTTTCTAAGTTTAGGACAGAGATCCGAAGTCAAATTCGTGTGGGGACTTGCAGTGTGCTTAGCCTACCTGCAGGGGGCAGCCTTACCCAGCTGATAGGTGAGTGGGTAAGGCCTGGGTTGCCAGCGCTCCGTCTGGTGTTCTAAATGTTGACAGGTATTCCAGTTAAAAACGAAAGCAGTGCTGCAGGTGTGGCTCAGTGGTCCGCTTCGAGTGATACCTACTATGATTAAGGCCTTGGGTCTGGCCCTCAAAACCACAAAAAACCCAAACAGAAGGCTAGAGAGTAGATCCACTCCTGTAAACCCAGCTACAGGTGGCCGAGGCCAGAGGATCACATGTTCAAGGCTAATGTGGACAACTTACACTGTGACTCAAAAGAGAGACAAAAAGACACTGGGAGTGTAGCTCAGTGGTTAAATCACCCCTGGCTTCAACCCCCAGTACTGAAATGACACAAAACTCAAAACTGTGTGATTTAAGCAATTTTGGTCTGCTGGTTTGTGATATCTGGTGAAGGCCTGGCAGCCTGGGTTATGTAGCCCTGGCTGACCTCGAACTTGCGGTGATCCTCCTGCTCAGCCTCCCGAGTGCTAAGATTATAGGCATGGGCCACCATGCCTGGCCGGCAGCCTAGTTATAGAAAAGCACCCCGAGGATGTTCCCACCCAGGGGCTAACGCTGTGGTCCCTCCTCTTCCCTGTCTCAGTGACAGCATCCACTATCAGATGGTGTATTCCTACGGCTCTGGGGTAGTGTGGGCCCTCGGCGTGGTCCCCTTCAGCCATGTGAACACTGTCAAGTTTAACGTGGAAGATGGAGAGATTGTTCAGCAGGTATGGGATGGCGTCTGGCCTGCAGAGCCTTGGACTGGGGAAGGAGGAATGGATAGAGAACTTATTTGCACCAGGGCCAGAGAACTTGGCTGAGTAGATCCAAAGCTGTTTATGGTTCCTGATTCTAGCCCCTTGCTTCTGGCTTGTCCTCTCTGGCTTGTGTTTAAAGTACTTACAGTTGGTAAAGTGCTCTTCCATGAAGCCCAGAAAAATTACACAGATCTAGTCACTCTCCTTAGGTAGTCTGAGACAGTGTTGTTATCACTGTAGAACACCACACAGTAGACGAACACAGTAGAGAAATACTTAGCCAAAGTACACAGTTACTTAGTACATTTTTCTAGTGGCTGGGAAGAAAATTTTGGTTTTTCTCCATCTTTGGAGGTTCTTGGAGGGCTGGCGAGGGGTGGGGCAGGAAGAACCCTTTGGAACCAACTGTGCAGAGCCTTTGAGCTTAGCATCCTCCTGGCGTTGCAGCAGCAGTGCTGCCAGGGGCTGGGAGGGAATGGAGCAGTCCTCCGGGAGTCTCACATTCTGGTGTCATTCCTGCAGGTCAGGGTTTCAACTCCATGGCTGCAGCGTCTCACCGGAGCCTGTGGCGTGGTGGACGAGGCTGTCCTCGTGTGCCCTGACCCGAGCTCGCGCTCTCTCCACACTTTGGCCCTGGAGACGGAGTGGGAACTGCAGCAGATCCCCCTGCAGGTGAGAGGCTGCAGCTGCTGCTTCTGGCCCAAAGCATTCCCTGCAGGGCTCAGAAGGGTCAGTGCGACTGCCTTGGGGTCTTTCTCCCGGTGGTTTTGTGGCCCCCTTCATGAGCTGTGACAGTCATGGAGTACAGCTCAGGCCTCCAGCTGACCAGGTGTTGGAGAAATGGGCCACTCTTTGCTTTGGAGAAGTTGAACAGGAGCTTCTGGAGCTTCTGCGCTGCCTTAGTTACATCCCCTGGCAAAGTGGGGCAGAGGAGGGAAGCGTGGATGGGTCACTGGCTGGCCAGCTGCTGGTCCTAATCCTAACCTGTCTCGCTTCTCTCAGTCGCTTGACTTAGAATTTGCAAGTGGATTCCAGCCCCGAGTGCTGCCCACACAGCCCAACCCAGTGGATCCTTCTCGGCCCCAGTTCTTCCTGCAGTTGTCCCCAAGCCACTACGCCCTGCTGCAGTACCACCAGGGGACTCTGAGTCTACTCAAAAACTTCCCCCAGGTAACTGCAGGCCATGTGCTTGTAGGAGGGTCTGGCCAAGACATGGACGCTAGGGGCAGTGTTTTTAAAGCTGGAGACTTGCTCATAGGCCTGAGCTTGATGGCACCATTCCCTAAGTGACTTGAGCTGGGTAGCATTATGGTAGGGATGCAATACCCTTTTCCTCATGTGCTATGGAAATCTTGAGAGTAAAACACTTGCCTTCCATGCAGTTCACAGGGAAGTGGGGCTGTCAGCTCCCCTGTGTATACTCAGTGCCGCATGGGGATTGGGGGTGATCTGTGCTGTGTTAGAGGAAGTGGAGCATTCTGTTAGCAACAGCGAGGCCCTTCCTCTGTGCTGCAGTGCCCTGGTCATCCTTTCCAAAGCTGGGAGCACTTTGGATTCTAAGGCTAAGAGACTGTCCCAGGAGAGGGGACCATCTAGAAAGCTGCTGCTTAATACAGGCTTCATTTTGGAGTTGACACCTTGCTTTTCCCCCAGACGGCCCTTGTGACCTTCGCCACTACTGGGGAGAAGACGGTGGCCGCAGTCATGACCTGTCGCAACGAAGTGGTGAGTCTTGAGAGTGACAGCCAGCACATGGGTTTTTCTGCTGGAAGGCTGAGAGTCCGAAGTCTGGGCGTATTTACCCGGTGAGGTAGAACACAGGGACAGGGTGAGTCCTCTCCCTACCTCCAGAGCTCTGTGCACAACCACTGGCTTCCCGGAAGCTTCCTGGGAGCCTCAGTGTGGCAGCCTCATTTTCATCAAGATTCTTAGGCATGGCTGCATTTAGTGTGCAGACGTGAGAAATGAGATTTGTCTTTTCCCAGTGCTGATGAGACATAGAAATAAAAGCTTCATTGTAACTGGGGAGGGATCCTGTGGCTGAACTTCCTCCTGTCCCTTTTCCCCTAGCAGAAACCGAGCAGTTCAGAAGATGGGTCAGTGGGGAGCTTTTCAGAGAAGTCCAGTGCACAGGTAGGTGTGGCACTGGGCAGGGTGCGTGCCCTGGGGACATGGGAACCACGTGAGACAGCCAAAGAGCAGCTGGGGCTAGTGGGTCTCAGGCTGTCTGTCCTGGATGGCTCCTGAGTACTGTGAATGAAACCATGTTTCTCTTTACCCCTTGCTAAGATGAAAAGATGAGGTAGAGTCCAGAGAATCCGTTGCTAGCCATGTTCTTCCCTGGGCCTCGGTTTCCCCATTTCTCGGGCTCCTGGCTAGCAGAGCTGGGTGCTGTTTCGTGTGTGTGCTGAGGCGGAAGCCTGAGCCCTGGCTGGCGTTTCGCACTTTGACTGTGGCTTCAGCTGCAGTTGGCTCCCGAGCCTGCCTTTCCTCCTGTGCTTGTTCGGGATCTTAGTCCTCTCTAGGAAGCCTGTGCGGCACTCTGTTAACCGGCTGCCTTCCACAACAAGTGTAGCAATTGTTATTTCCTTATTTATGCAGGTGCCTCATTTCTCTCTTAGGATTTAGCTTTTCTCTTTTTCTTTTTCTTTGCATTTCTTTTTTTTTCCTTTTTGAGACAGGGTTTCATATGTAGTTCAGGCTGGCCTTGAACTCACTTTGTAGCCCAGGCTGGCCTCAAACTTGAGGCAATCCTTCTGCCTCGGCCTCCAAGTGCTGGGACTATAGCCATGCACTGCCACAGCTGGCTTGCTTTGTTACTTTTTGACTTTCTTTTACACATATTTCCCTTTCTGGCCCTTCTCTGGGATATGTGCCCTGGCTCCTTGGACATCATTTGGGAGACTTTTGGGGATCCTGCTAGTTCAGTAGTCCCCAGTTTTTTTGACACCATGACCAGTTTTATGGAAAACACTTTTTCCATAAATACGGATGGGGGATGATTTTGGTATGATTTAAGTGCCTTGTATTTAATGTGCACTTTATTTCTATTATTATTACACTAGATTTTTATAAGGATGGTGCAGCCTAGATCCCTCACACTGCGGTTCCCAGCAGGGTTCATGCTCCTGTGAGAATCTGTTGCTGCTGCTGAGCTGCCAGGAGGCAGAGCTCAGTGATGTGGGTTCCTAATGGGCTGTGGGCCAGTACCGCCAGGGTCGGGAACCCCTGCTGTAGGTCCCCATGCTGTTTGTTCCCCTAGGACTCACTGGCTTGCTTCAACCAGACCTACACCATTAACCTGTACTTAGCAGAGACAGGCCGGCGGCTGCTGGACACCACGATTACCTTTAGCCTGGAGCAGAACCATACTCGGCCTGAGCGGGTGAGTCAGAGCCTTTACCTTGGACTTCATCCTGTGGGCTTCTCAGCTTGGGGTTTTTTGTCCTCAGGGCCAGGTCACAGCCGGGGATCCTGGCAAAGAGCCCTCTGGACATGGGTTCTGGTTTCCTGAGCCACTGACTGATCATAAATGATAGGAAAAGCAGCTGTGGCCTGTGCACACGTGTCACCATGCACCAGGCACTGTGTTCAGCTCTGCCTGTGCACGAATTGATAGGACCTTCTCCACAGTCTTGGGAAGTGGTTGTTACTGACTTAGTTTTACTGGGGCCCAGTGGCATTGGTGCCCTGTCCGGAGTCACAGCTCGTAAGACATGTTGCTGGGGTTCAAGGTCATGGCTGTCTTAACTCCACATTTACACTCATAATCCTCCCGAGTCCCTTTAGGGCCTCTGGATTGTGATTCTTATTCTTGGGATCTGGCTTTTTTATCCCGAAAGTGGCAAGTCTAATCCTGGCCTCTCGAGTTGTGAGCAGGGCTGGGGCACGGATGGATATGGTAATCCTGTCGGGTACTCGTGTTCCTTCACAGACGGGCCTGAGGCAGCTTAACACTCTGTCTTGGCTCCGAAGAATATTCCTAATTGTATTGTCATCCAGATAATTGGTGTATGTTTAAGTAACGTCACGACACGGACCTCTAACAACTCTGAACACTTTGAATCTTGGGATCTGGGGCTCTGAAAAGCATCTACATTCCCACTGGCTGTTTGGCTTACAGCTGTACATCCAGGTGTTCTTGAAGAAGGATGACTCGGTGGGCTACCGGGCTTTGGTGCAGACGCAAGACCATCTGCTTCTTTTCCTGCAGCAGCTGGGTGAGTGCATCTCATGCAGTGTATTTGTGTTGCAGCCTGCCCTGCATTCCAGTCAGACTGGTTCCAGGGGATGGCCCACAGGTCTCTATTAAAGCCACAGTGAAGTATACCAGTTTGAGCTATGTTTCATCTGCTTTACAGTAAGTTCTTAGTGTTTTTTCCCTCTAAAATTCTTTTATTAGTACATATTTACAGTGTATAATGACCATATTGCAAAGACTGGTACAGGTACATATGCCTTTATCCTTTTTGTATCCCTTCCCCCCTCCCCTCCAAGTTCTTAGCATTTCAGGGTGAGATCTGAACTTTTCTCACCTCACCTATTTGTTCTATTTGTTCAAGAGACTAGAACAAATTTATTTATTTATAATGGGCTAGGTAGTGCAGGTTGGCCACAAGTACAGTATGCAGCCAGGGCTGGCCTTGAACTCATGGTGACCCTCCTGCCTCAGCCTCCCAATCCTGGCATTACAGGTGTGCACCGCCACACTTGGCTTGTTCTATTTTTATATGAGAGCTGATCCCTGAGCCACCTAGTAGAGTCCCTTCAGAAGGTAGCAGAGACAGGCTGAGCTTCTGTGTGCTGGTTGGTTTCCCTCAGCAGGGAAGGTGGTGCTGTGGAGCCGCGAGGAGTCCCTGGCGGAGGTGGTGTGCCTGGAAATGGTGGATCTGCCCCTGACCGGGGCACAGGCCGAGCTGGAAGGAGAGTTTGGCAAGAAAGCAGGTAGGACCCCGTGGGGATGGCACTGCAAAGCCGCTGCAGGGGTGCTGCTCTGGGCTGGGAGTGGTAGTTAGACACGAGGGACGCTGCCCTACCATGTCCCTGGCTTCCTGGGCTCAGCCAGTTTGCCCATCTGTTTCAGTTAAGCCAGGGAGTTTCTGGTGCATTCATGTTCCTGCGGGTTATGTAATCATTCCTTCCAGCAAAGGAAATGAACTGTGCACCCTTCCAGGGAAAGATGGTGAGGAAAACAGGAAAAACCTCCTAACCTAGTGCGTAATGACTGTCGTTCTCCAAGTGCCTAAAAGTTGTCGGGCATTGCATTAGGCACTGTCTACCCACTGACCCCAAAGCAGCAGCCACGTGTGCCTATGAACAGCCATGTTGATTTTAGTTGTGGAGATAGCCCGGTATACTCTGAAGCCAGCGCAGTCTCAGTTCCCCAGTACACTATATTCAGTCCTCTCTGAATCAGCCATCTCCCCCTCTCCTCCCCATCCATGATCTCACTCCCCAGCAGGTAGTTGAGGGCCTGCCCGGGTCAGGAACCTTGCTAGCATCACATGGTTTCTCAAGCCAAGCGTTAACTTGACTTTACTATTTGTTTCTGCTGCCTGGATCCAGCCATTCAAGGTAAAGCCTGCTTCTTGCCGCCTGGTTGCTCCTGGGCTGCCCACATGGCTAGCGTTTGGTTGTTTTTCTGAATTGAGGTGCATACCACGTGTGTGGGTTGCTCTGCTTTTGGCTTGTCTGCTGTCAGTCACTTCTCTTCCTTGAGCTGAGGTTGATGGAAAATAGACAAGCAAGGTACTGCTTTAGTGAGCACTTAGCCTGCAGCAGGCATCATCCTCAGTCCTGTGTGTATATCACGTAATCTGATCTTTGTAACAGTCCTCTGGCCTGTGTGTCCTTTACAGATGTGGAAAACATCAAGGTGAATGACATTTCCCAAGGTCACACTGCAGTAAGGAGTGGCACTGATTCTGATCTGTTTTTACCATGTGTCTTGGTTACTTTCCTCTCGTTGCTGAGACAAAATGCCCGACATCCCATTTAGAGAGGGAAAGGTTTATTTAGCTCACAGTTGTGGAGGTTTCAGTCTGTAATCAGCTGCTCCAAGGCAGGGGTGTGACACAGCAACCGTTCAGGGTGGCAGAAGACAGCAAAATCAGGAAGAGAAAAGTGGAGAGCAAGCCTCTTTGCCTCCCTTGTATTGTGAACAGGCTGCCACCACCGAGGGTGGGTGTAACACATCATCTCTGAGTCCTCCTCTTGCATAGATGTTTGAGGACCTTGGCCCCTGCTGAGTCACTTAATTACACTTCTCAAGTGATACAGTGTATCAACCATTGCACCATGTTACCTTGTGTCCGTCACCGTCACTGAGTCTATGGTCTGGAGACAGAGATTTGGCAGGTGATGGCCTAGTTGATGGAGTCAGGGATGGAGGGGTTGATGGCCCTGTGAATGGGTTGCAGGTCAATCTGTTGGGCAGAAGTGATAGTTGACAAAATATACATGAAACAATGGGAAGTAGAAGCACCCCTTTGTGATACACATGTCCCTGCACCCCCGCACCCTGACACCTGCACCTTCTGGCTTTGTTGTGGCACCCAGAAGCCTTTCCCTGCCATCCTGGATGTGGGGCTGTGGTGGTGACATTTATAACTCAGCTGCGTGTGCATGGCCAGTCCCTGACCCCTAGTCTTTCCTGTCGCCATTCCTGTCCCTAAAGATTCCAGGCAGGTGAAATCTAAGCGCCAGGTAAGAGGGTTTTGGAAGCTTATGCACAGTCATACCTCAGTCTGAGACTGTTGCCAGCAGACAGACTGTTTCTCAGGAGGCCTGGAGCCTGGAGTTTAAGTGGCCAAAACGCTGTGCAGGTGAGGGACATGTCTCTCTCTGGGAAAAGCGTGCACCTCTTTACTGGACACCCAGTCTGACGCACAGTGTGTTACCATTCCCCTGACACCAGACGGCCTGCTGGGGATGTTCCTAAAACGCCTCTCATCTCAGCTCATCCTACTGCAAGCATGGACTTCCCACCTCTGGAAAATGTTCTATGATGCTCGGAAGCCCCGAAGCCAGATTAAGAATGAGATCAACATCGACACCTTGGCCAGGGATGAATTCAACCTGCAGAAGATGATGGTGATGGTAACGGCCTCAGGGAAGGTATGGCTGTCAGCCCCAGGTGATCAGAGGTTCTGAAGTTCAGGGAGTGGGATAAAAAGCTTGTTAGGGGACAGTAGCACTGCTTCCAGTTTGCAAAGATAGAATCAGTTATTTGGCTTTTCTTTCTAGTCGCGAGCCAAGTATTTGTTTATCTTGCAGCTTTTTGGCATTGAGAGCAGCTCTGGCACAATTCTGTGGAAACAGTATCTACCCAGTGTCAAGCCAGACTCCTCCTTTAAGCTGATGGTCCAGAGAACTACTGCTCACTTCCCCCACCCCCCGCAGTGCACGCTCCTGATAAAGGACAAGGTGAGAGCCTCAGTCTCTGACTCGTGTGGCATTTTTGGCAATTAGCAATTCAGATTGTGCCAGGCCTTTTGGAGTTACGTGAGAGTCCCTGAGGAACGCTGAAGGGTTAGGGCGCTTGTTGTTCCTTCCTGCCTGGCTGGAGGAATTACCCAGTGCTACTGCGGAGTGGATCCAAAACAGGCTTCACGTCTGCCAGCTTTCTTTCCAGTCATAGGCTGTTGGTGGAGTTTGGCGGTTCTTTTTTCTTTTCTCTAGAAAGGAGAGCAGGGCACAAAATGATTTGTATTCTGGTCTCCCAAAATTAGAACAGATTTGTGGATCCACTCTAACATTACTAGAGAGAGGGCTTTGTAGGCCTTTCTGGAACGGCCACAGTGGTGTTACTGAATTGTAGCTGACCTGCTTATTTATTGTACTAGGGACTGAACCCAGGTCCTTGCACTGAGCCGTATCGCCAGTCCTGTTTTTTGTTTTGAGGCAAAGTTTTGCTAAGTTGCTTAGTCTGGCTTGAACGTGAGATCCTCCAGCTCAGCCTCCCAAAGTACTGGGATTACAGGTGTGCACCACCATGCCTACTTTGTACTTGACCTTTTTATTTGCTTATCACCACAGCCAGGTCTTGGTTGAATTTGGAGCCAGAGACAGTTCGACCTCTTTTCCTTTTGACATTAGCCTAGGGGACTGTTCCCCTGGGGCCAAGAGCCACAAAGCTGGCAAAGAGTAGGGAATCCCTCCCAGCTGAGCTGAAGTGTCAGGTTTCCTGGTTTACCCTTGTGATGTGTGTTCTTTCCGTGTTTGCCCACCCACCTTAGGAAACAGGGATGAGTTCCCTGTATGTCTTCAATCCCATTTTTGGGAAGTGGAGTCAGGTGGCTCCCCCAGTGCTCAAGCGCCCCATCTTGCAGTCCTTGCTTCTCCCGGTCATGGATCAAGACTATGCCAAGGTCTTGCTGTTGATAGATGATGAGTACAAGGTACTGTGTCTTTGGGAGGGCGGGGACATTCAGGTGGAGGTGGGTGCGGGATGGGTGGTCAGACAGGTGGCAAAGCAGAGGCAGTGTGGACTGTAGTAGCTCATGCTTGCTCGTGGCCCATGCCTCAGAGACACGAGTGCTGCTGCTGCCTTTGCAAATACTCAGGTTCTTAACAGAACTAAATTGATGCCCTAACTGGAGTCCGTTAGACTGTAATTCTTTGAAAATTGTTGTTTTATTAAGGGACTCTGATAGACTTAGTTCTGAACTTGGCTTTAACCCTTTCCTGGGGACTTCTGGGTTTTTAAGGTCACTGCTTTCCCAGCCACTCGGAATGTCTTGCGACAGCTGCATGAGCTTGCCCCCTCCATCTTCTTCTATTTGGTGGATGCAGAACAGGGACGGCTAAGTGGATATCGCCTTCGAAAGGTAGGTGTGGGGAGCCGCTGGCCAGAGAAGTGACTGAGCCTGAGTGTGCTAAGGAAGGGACCTTGGGGAGCCACAGTTCCTGCCCTCCGGGAGTGCCTGCTTAGAGTTTAGAGCAGAATCTGCAAGAAAACAGTCAAGTTATTGTCAGAAATGTTTGCTTTGGCCACTGTGTTCTCTCCCCTGATAAGAATGTTTAAACTGTTGACATGTGGCATGTTCTGAACCATCCCATTCCCGTTCCCTGACAACTCCTGTACAGAATGTTGCAAAATACTTTTCTCTATCTTTGTTCCCATATCCTTGAGTTATAAATAAATAACAGTGGAAGTCTCAGTTGGTTGCTATTTCTCTGAGGCTCTCTTAAGCCCAAGAAGCAGCCCCTTTGAGTTCTCCATGATTGGATTAAATCTCGTCTTGAGTAATCTTTCTCATCCTCTGTGCTCATGGTTGCACACTGTGACACGTAGAGAAAGGGGTGCCAGCAGGATTCCTTGCATGGAGGTGTGGTCTTTCCTGGTTACTTAGCAAAGCTATGAACCATGCTTCTAGTCCCAAGGCAGACTTAGACTGGCAGAAACCTGATGTGAGTTGGTCATTTCTTTCTGTTAGTTGGGCAGCTACTCCGAGGCACACATGGCTGTAGATGCTGTGGATAGAGCAGTGCATAATGGACCAGGTCTGTGCTCATGGCCTTTCGATGCCCCAGGGAAGGGGCATTTTCAACACTCTCATGAGGATGGGGAGTTGGAATGGGGTTGAACTTGTATTGTTACACAAGGATGCTATCGGCAGATTCTTGATAGAATGCATGCCTTGAATTTTATTTATTTTTTTATTTTATTTTATTTTTTGTCTTTTTCCTTTTTATCGGTACCGGGGATCGAACTCACGACTGCCTGCTTGCAAGGCAGGTACTTATGCCGCTGAGCTAAATCCCCAGCCCCCTTGAATTTTATTTTTAAAAATGGGATTAGTTTGCTCTGATGCTGATACTCTTGAACCCAGCTCTAGCAGACAGTGATACACACTGTGTTGGAAGCACCGAGGGGCTGGCCCTGGCCTTGCTAGCAGGGCTGAATAGGGGGCTATTGTGTGGTTGCACCTACCAGACATATCCTGTATTTCCTTAGTGTAGATTTAGAATGTGTTGAAGAGTTTGTGTGTATTGATTTTTTTTTTTATAATGACCTGCTAGCTTAATGATCACTGTTGGCCATAGTATACAGGAACTCTAGATTTCACTAGTAAATGATGTTTTTCTTGGATATTTTCTCAGATAAACAATGATAAACATCTTGGATATTTTCTCAGATAAACAATGGTATACTGTTGAGTATTTTTTTCTTACTCATTTTCGTGTCTTTTTAAATCAATCTGAGAGTTCTAAACCGGGATAAGCCAGCTCTTTGCTGCTGTTTTTTGAACAGTTTTGGTCTTATTTCTTCTGGCGCAAAGGCTCAGAGGCTGAACTGCTGGACATGTGAGTTGCAGCTGTCTGAGGTCTGTGCGGGCCCTCGTGTTCACTGTGTTTTTGCCCTGCCCCAGGACCTCACCACTGAGCTGAGCTGGGAGCTGACCATTCCCCCAGAAGTCCAGCGCATCGTCAAGGTGAAGGGGAAGCGCAGCAGCGAGCACGTCCATTCGCAGGGCCGGGTGATGGGGGACCGCAGTGTGCTCTACAAGGTACGGCTCGGCTGCCTGGCGCAGAGCGATGAGGGCTTGGTAGGTCCGTGATCTTGGGGAAGTCGTCTAGCCTCTTGGAACCTGACTGTCTTTGACTTCTCTTAGGTAGTAGCGGGGACAGAACCCAGGGCCTTCCCTGTGTTGGGGACATGCTCTGCTACTGCGCCACACCCGCAGCCTGGGCATAATGTGTTCCTGCCGTGCAGTTGTTGGGATGATCATGGAAACACTCACGCATAGCCCATGCCTGGGGTGCATACGGTAGCTACCTGATAGATGGTAGGTTTTGTTGTGGTGGCGGTGGTGTCGATACACCTTTCTGGAGTTAAACTTCATTCAGTCTGTTAGCAACTGCACCTTGGCCTGGGGTATAGTGGCAGAGCATTTGCTTAGTGTGCACAAGGCCCTCAGTTTGATCCCTTGTACCACATAGAATAGCAAAACAAAGAGTCCATGTCTGTGATCCAGCACTCCAGTTAGTAGTAAAGGGAGGGAAACAGATGACTGCTGGGTTGTAAAACTGCCACTGAGAGGCGGTAGGCATGCTCCAAGTGGACACTCATTACACCCTTTGACGGCGGAGACGGTGTGAAGAGTGCTGTGGGGGGGTGAGACCTGCAGTGAGGCCAGGGGAGCTGACGCGAGCTGCCTCACTGTGTGCGAAGCGGCATCAGTGCAGGCCTCCAGTTGACGGTTGGGTTCCGACTTGACCCTGCTGCGGCCAAGCTGTTGATTACTGCTGGTTTGCCCGGGCTGCCTGCATCCCATTTCCACCGTCATGATGGGGTAACAGCACTGACTTTCACAGAGTGTCCTGAAGATGAAAGGCACCGTGGTGAGCAGAACAGCGCCTGCTGGCAACAGGAACCCCGTTGACTCGGATTCTTTACTGATGAGCATCTTCCTTGTGGTAGCACTTAATTTTACCTTATTCAGAATGACCAAAATAGTACAAATTCTAAAGTGTGTTTTAGACTGCAGGGTGGGGTGCAGAGGGAGGGTGCGTGAGGCCCTGGGGTAGATTTCAAACACCATGCACCAACTCCCCCCAAAAAACAAAAATAAACAAACAAAAAAGATACAAAACAATATAAACATTGTTTCAAAGTTTTAAAAAGTTCATATTAATTTGAACTTTAGAAAATACTAAAAGATTAATTAGAAAAAAATATACCATATGTAATTTTACCGTTGTACTATAAAATGAGAGGTAACCAGGAGCAGTGCTTTTAAAATTCATATCTTGCAATTATTCTAGGTTATTTTATTCAGATACACTTTTTAAATTTTGCTTGTAAAATTACAGAAAAGTTGTGGTGGCTGAGCATGGTAACACATGCCTGTCATCACAGCACTCAGGAGGCTGAGGCAGGAGGATTGCTGTAAGGCCATCTTTGGCTACCTAGTCAGTTCAAGGCCGGTCTGAACTACATGGTGAAATGCTATCACAAAAAACTCAAAAAAACCAAAAAAACAAGCCAAACCAAAAAATCGCCCAGAAAGTTGTGGATATATCCCTTTTCCTCGTTTGCCTGCACAGCCATGGTACATTTATCTATCTAAACCAACATTAGCACATGACTGCTAAATTCCAGGCTTTACTTGGGCTTCACCAAATTTTTCACTGATGCCGTTACTTTGGAGTGTGATCACACATTGATTTAGTTGTCAGGCCTCTATAGCCTCCTGGGGTCTAAGACAGCTTTCCAGGCTCCCCTTGTCTCTCATGACCTTGAGAGTTAGAAGAGCACTAGTCAGGTGGTGTGTAGAACGGCTCCCAGTTTTGGTTTGTCTGATGTCTTCCTGTGGTTAGACTGTGGTTATGGATTTTTGGCAGGAAGGCCACAGAAGGAAAGAAGTGAGTCCTTCCTGGATTTGACATGTTCTTTTTAGACAATGGAATGCATCAGTGAATGAAACAGACAAAACTTCTGTCTCCTGAAGCTGTCGTTGTTGGGAGAGACCAATGAAACAATAAATACGCAGGTTACCAGCCGTGACTATGTAATGTAGTAACTTTAAGGCCACCCTGAACTACAAAGCGAAACCCTATCTCAAAACACAAATGAAAATCCAGATTATGTAGTCACTTAGCAGGGGTCCAGTTCCATAAGGGAAAAAATAAAGCTGAAACAAGGGAGAGAGAGCAGAGCTACAGAACTGGGAAGGGGATGCAATTAACAACTGCTGGAGGGCCAGGGAGTTAGCTCAGCAGCGTCAGTGCCTGCCTGGCAGGTGTGAGGTTGTGAGTTCGATCCTTGGCACCAAAAAAAAGAGGAACAACTGCTGGCTAAGAGGGCTTGCTGAGAAAGTGCCCCCGATTCGGAGGCCTGGGTGAGGCAGTGGCTGTGGGTGCCTGGAGGAAGAGCCTTCGGAACCGCAAGGCCGGAGCCTGCTTGGTGTGCTGAGAAACAGCAGAGTGGGCCATGCGATGACCAAGGAGAGGCAAGAGGGACTGGGTCACACAGGGCCTCGCCCTGGCCTTCCCTTGGAGAGAGAGAAGGAGCCTGGCCAGTGGGAAGTTTTGAGCAGAGAAGCGACATAAATGGCTGAGATTTAACCTTCTAATGCTGTTCTTTTGGCCCTGACAACTGTATCTGTCCAAGGAGGAGAGCAGGAAGACCAGTGAGGCCCTTGTAGGAGCGTGGGCCAGGCGACGCGGCTGGAACTTGGTAGTGTGGAGTTGGTGGGGAAGGATCACATTCTGGTAGAAGGCAGAGCCAGTGGCTGCCCCCACCACAGAGAGGAAATAGGGGCATGTGCATGTGGGTACACTACAGAGGAGAGTCAGAATAATGTGGCCAGTATTCTGTGACAAAGACGTAGGGAGTTACCACTGACTAGGTGGAAAACCTGAGGCAAGACAGGTTTGGGCAGACAGAATAGTTCATTCAGCCTGGGCCACTGGAGTCAGCACTTCTAGGGAGAGCGACCCGGGTGGCTGTTCGCTAGTAATGGGAGTTCAGCAGGAGTTTAGCCGAATACGTAATTTTGGCACTGCCGGCACCTATAAGCAGTGATAGAACCATGAAGTTTGCTGATGTCACCAGCAAGTGAGCATAGATAGAAATGCTCAGGGCCAGTTGGGCACAACGGCACATGCCTGTAAGTAAGCACTCTGAGAGGCTGAAGCAGGAGGATCACAAGTGTGAGCCCACTATACTTGTGATAGTATAAAAAAATAAAGGGCTTGGGAGATAGTTTAGTATGAGGGCCCTGGGTGAGTCATTCAGTCCGGTACTGTGCAGTAATAAACAGAGAAATGTCCAGTGTCTGGTGCTGCTTGGTGTGTTCTGCCATGAAGAGAAACAGACTGGGGAGGGGGGGGACCCTCCAAAGACGGAGGACAGGCCGGTGAGTGTGAAGGGAAACCAGGGGCCGCCATCCTGCATGCCGGGTCCAGGGAGTGTTCCGTGAGGGCATGCTGCTGTGTGGCCTGGTGCTCCCAGCTCAGGTAAGACAGGGATCCGCACTCATCCTGAGTTAGGAAGGGGGAAGGTGCTGCCGACTGTGGGAAGGCTGCCTCTGGCAGAGAGAAGCGACACTGCCGGAGCTGTGTCCTTGGGCCCAGGATGGTGGACCCAGGGCTTGTTTGTGGTGGCCGTGTGCCAGCTCTGTGACTTGAGACGCTGCCTCACTGCACGGGTTTCCTCATCTGCAGAATGGGGGTATTGGCAGCTGATTTATAAGGTTGTGGAAGGGGAGTGCAATATAAGGCACCTCGTGCCATGCCCAGGCCCCAGGGACACAAATCAGGTATGGGGATGGGAAACAGCACAGCCAGCTCTTCTGACCAGAAGCCCTGGATCCTCTGCTAGGCCCAGGCTCAGCGTGGAGCCAAGAATGAAGGAGTTTTATTGTCTCTCCCCAGAGCCTGAACCCCAACCTGCTCGCTGTGGTGACAGAGAGCACGGACGTACACCACGAGCGCACCTTTATTGGTGTCTTCCTCATCGATGGTGTCACAGGGCGCATCATCCACTCCTCGGTGCAGAAGAAGGCCAAGGGCCCCGTCCACATCGTGCACTCAGAGAACTGGGTGGTGGTAAGGAGTCTCTTGGGAGCACGCGGTCACTGAGGAAGTCTCCCAGTTTAGACCCTTTCCAGAAGCCCACTTGTGCTTTGAGTTTTCATAGGCTCCCAGCACCCCCGGATTAACAGGTGGGAGCCAAAATTCCAGTTGCTTAGGTTTGATCTCAGCTCTTCCTATTCCTGACCATCCAACCTTGAGGTAGTTATATGTGCAATTGGTAGAGTAGACATGATAATAGTAAACTCCAGTCCAGCGTAGAGCAGCGCCCGGCACCTAGTAAGCATGCAGCGTTAGCTCTTACTATGACTTGGAAGAATGTTCTGATTCTTAATTCCTGTATCACATAGCAAACTTTGGGCAGCCTGGACTAACTGCCTGGAATGTTAGCTTAGGAAACAGGAAGGAAACTGGGGGTGTCCACGTGGTTCTGTTCCTCCCTGAATCTGTAGCCAATTTGAAAAGTGCCTTCCAGTGTAAAGTCCCCATTGCAGCTGACCCTGAGCTGCTGCTCCGTATCCCTGCAGTACCAGTACTGGAACACCAAGGCTCGGCGCAATGAGTTCACAGCCCTGGAGCTCTACGAGGGGACGGAGCAATACAATGCCACTGCCTTCAGCTCCCTGGACCGCCCACAGCTGCCCCAGGTCCTTCAGCAGTCCTACATCTTCCCCTCCTCCATCAGTGCCATGGAAGCCACCATCACGGAGCGGGGCATCACCAGCCGACACCTGCTCAGTGAGTGTGGGGATGCGGGCTCTGGGGCGACCAGGTTCCCTCAGCAGCAGTGTGACGGACAGGGACCGTATCGCCAGCAGAGCCTTTTGAGCACCCATCGGGACAGGTTGGTGTAGGCGGCTCTGCCCGGGTGGGAAGTGTCTGTTCAGCTGTGCCTTCGATAAAGATGACCACTTCTCTCCTAGTTGTCATTTCTGATGAACTATTTCCCTTTTTTGGTGTTCTCACCTTGTTGTGAAAATCAATCCCTGCTCCCATTCTTCTGTTTAGAGGTGGAATCCCCTTTTATTAATGACAGCTGTATCAAACTGTTGACGCTAATGAGTTATTAGTGTACACTTGTGATTCATGATAATTACCTTTCTCTGTGGGAGCTGGTGTGGATCACTTTACCTGGATCATTTTATCCTCCTCGTATTATCATTAACAGTCTGCGTGGTTTGTGCAGAAACCAGCAGGACCTCGTCGTATGTAGTTTAACTTCAGGACTCTTTGAGTATAACAGGCTCCTTGCTGACTTGATTTTAGCAAAAACATGTGGGACTGTCAGCTTTGATGGACAGTCGTGCCACTATTTTATTGTCAAAATAGGAGGAAAACACTCTCTTGGCAACTTGGATTGCCTTTACTGGTGCTGGTGCTGCCAGGTCCTCTGCCCCCACATTCACTCTGCCCCAGTGGCGCTCACAGCCGAGTTTGCTTTGTCAGAGCGTTGTTACTGGTGCGGGCGGGTGGGCGGAGATCCAAACTGTGCCTTCCAAACCCTTTGCTTTCATTGTTACCCATAGCGTGAGGGTCTAAGAAGAATTTTTATTTTTATTAGTATGTGTTTGCAGTGCATGATTATATTCATTGTGGGGAATCTGTTCATGTACCTAACATACCTTAAGTCTTTTTCTGTTTCTTTCCTTTCCGCCCTGTATTTTGACTCTTAACCTTTTTTTGGTGTGTGTGGTTCTGGGAATTGAGCGAGGGCCTTAACACTGAGCTATCCCCCGAGCCTTTTTAAATTTTTTTTTTTTTTGAGCTTGTGATCCTCCTGCTTCAGCCTCCCAGAGTGCTGGAATAACAGGCATGTGCTACTATACCTAGCTTAGCTTTGAGTGTCAAACTTTGTCTTTTGACCTCTTAGGGTGATGTATGATGAAGCTTGTATCTTCAGAAGTGAGAACCTTCATACAAACCCATGATTACTGTTTTGACTATTGAAGAGAACCTCAGTGACTTTTTGGGGGCAGTTGTTTTTAAAAGTCTTTAAAGATTTCTATGATGCTATTTTGATGACTGTTCCTCATCTGGAATCGGTTAAATGTGAACATTTCCTTCTCCCTGTGCAGTTGGGCTACCTTCCGGAGCAATTCTTTCTCTCCCTAAGGCCCTGCTGGATCCCCGGCGTCCTGAGATCCCAACTGAACAAAGCAGGTGAGACCCCTTGGGCAAGGCCAGAGGCTCATGACTACGGATCTCACTGATGAGCTTTGGTCCTTAGTCTGGCTTCATGGAGCTTATGTTTGGTAGGAAACAATAAACAGTGGGAGGACAGAGCAGGCTCCTCACGGGCCTGAGTGGAGCAGAGAGCAGTGTGGTTTGGAGCAGTGCACAGAGCGGGTTGAAGCTGAGAAAAGATGGGATAATAACTGGGCCTTTCCAAGGAGGAATGGGATAGGGACACCGTAGAGCAGGAGATGGCTTTGTGGTCCAGGGTGTTGAGTTGAAAGTGGCCCTGACTTTCCTCCTGTGATGTGAAATGCCAGTTAACTGATTATATTATTTCTTTTCGAATTTAGGACAGGGTTAGGAATTCAGACCTCAGCTTCACTATCCAGAGAGCCTTCTTTCCTGCAGTCCTTCCTATCATTCAGCTGCTAAATTTTTAACTATCTAATGCAAGTAGACCTTGAAGGTGATTTGAGGTTAGGTATGCGTCCTGGAACCCTCCCAAGACCCAGGAGGGCAGCCAGGTGCTCCTTTTACAGCGCCTCTCAGAGCGCTTGTCCCTGATGTTTTGCAGAGAGGAGAACCTCATCCCCTATTCTCCAGATGTACAGATCCACGCAGAACGATTCATCAACTATAACCAGACTGTCTCTCGAATGCGAGGTATCTACACAGCTCCCTCGGGCCTGGAGTCTACATGCTTGGTGAGTGGAGCCCACAGCACCCTGTATGGTGGCTGCTCTTTATTTCAGTCCTGGGAGAATAGCTCAGGATCGCACTTTCTTCCATACCTGACTGTGGGGTTTTGGTGGCTCACTGGCTGCCCTTTTTCCTGATTCTCATTCTATTTGCCTTCTAGGTTGTGGCCTACGGTTTGGATATTTACCAAACTCGAGTCTACCCATCCAAACAGTTTGATGTCCTGAAAGATGACTATGATTATGTGTTAATCAGCGGTGTCCTCTTTGGCCTTGTTTTTGCCACCATGATCACTAAGAGGCTGGCACAGGTGAAACTCCTGAATCGAGCCTGGAGGTAGACTGAAGACTCCAAGCCCGATTGGAGAGTTGTGGTGGCATCAGCTAAGGTGCTACAGCTGCGGTTGGGTGAACTGGTGGAATGTGTATGGGGTTCTGCTCTCAGATGAGTTGGGTGAAACGTGGACTGTAATGTATAGCTGCTGATTTTGAGACACATGCTGCCCAGTCCTGTGGATAAAGGCTGCACTTGTTCAGCTCAGTTGAGGATCTCTAGGCACTTGATAGATTTTCCTTCAAAGTCCAGGACCACTGCCATTTCCTTTCTTTGGCCATTCATGAATGTTCTGTTTTAAAATAAGACCTCTTACTGAGCCAGGTGCAGTGACCCATTTTGCAATTCCAGTAGTCCCAGTAGTTGAGGCAGGATGATTGTAAATTTAAGCTCATCCTGAGTAATTTAGTGACACCCTGTCTCAACATAAAGGAGGGGAGTGTATGTGTGTGCGTGTGCATGTATGCACTGTAAATGTACCTTACTGAGAAGGCCCTGGGCTCAACCCCCAGTACAGAAAAACAAAACAAAGACCCTTCACCTAACTTTTTCATTTTTATTGGTACATTCTTATGGTATGTAGTTACATTCATCATGGCTGATTTTTCTTTTTTCCCTTTATTTTCCCGTGCTGAGGATCAAACCCAGACCCTAATGCAAGCTAGGCAAATGCTTTAACATCGAGCTGCGTCTCAAGCTTTGATGTTTCTCTTTTGCAAGGCATGTTTAAGTTGATTTTAGTTTGCCTTTTATGTTTCCCATTCTTATGTAGGAATCCTGACATTTCCCTGCCTCTTGGTGCAACGTTGGTAGGGAGGTCCTCTTGCCCACTTTTATTTGGTAAATGCATTTGCTGCTTGACTTCGAAGGACGGGAACACAGGATCTATCCTTGGCTGGTGCTTGAGGATGGATGCAGACTCTTGAGGCTTCTCTCCAGAGTAGCTTAGGTTGAGGAATCTATATATTATGTCAAAACTAACTTTAGCCAGGGATTTTGCTCAGTGGCTCAAGCACAAGGTTGTGAGTTCGATCCCTGGTACCAAACAAAAACAAACAAACAAAAAAAACAACTCTAGGAGAAGTAACTTTAAGTCCCTAGTGCAGTGATGGTGAACCTTTTAGGTCTTTCAATGATGAGAAACAGCTGGCTGCAGCATGCGTGCCATGGGTTCTCTGGAGCATTGCTCCAGTGTCCTGCTTTTTTCTTTTTTGAAAGACAGGGTGTTGCTCACGCTGGTCTTGAAGTCACTGGGGAGCCCAGGCCAGCTTCAAACTCACTGTGATCCTCTTAAGCTTCCCGAGTACTGGGATTACAGGTGTGTGCCACTACACCCAGCCCTCTTGCTTTCATAAGGTTGAGCCACCCGGTCTTTTCAGTTTATCAAAGTCAAGTTCATATAGTATCTTGATTTGCTGGTCATCACCTATGCATTTCTCCTACAATGTGTCAGAAGAAAGGCTTTTTTAGAGCTACTGAGTTGTTTGAGCCTGAAGAGATTTTAGTCTCTCATTCTGCCCACAGCCTGGCCTAGTCATCTTATACCTAGAGAAAGATGCTTTTGCTTAAAAACCTTATTTATTTTTAGGTGTGTGTGTGTGCGTGTGTGCACGTGTGCATG